GCTGGCCCAGGACCAGACCTTGAGAACCACTGCTCCATGAAATTCTGAGAAGGGTATGGAGTAGGAAGGTGGCTTGCAGGGCAAGACGAAAACACTCTCTAATGCCATCTTAATTCCATGAACCCCCCCAAGCCCCTCCCCCAAAGCCAATCCACCAACACTCAAGGCTGCCAGGGGATTCTAACTGGAGGAGGGTGACTCCAGCAACGATGTCAGCTCTCAGTGGCTAGTTTGGAGACTCTCCATCTTGAGGGGGACACAGGAGAGTATGGGTTCCGGGCACTTCATTCTTGGACAGACCACGAAGAAAAGTGATTCACTATAGAGTCCCCATAGGACTGCTAGTTACTATCTATGTGCTCTCCACTCCTAAGTTTCTCCACCACCGTGTATTACAGGGCCTAGCAGTGTAAAAACCAATTCCTAGTCACCTTTGCAGCGAGAATTCAAGGTGTATTAGGTTCTGATACTGAAATGCAGTCACATAGGATTGAAAGGCAAAAAAGAGGAGCACGCTCTCTTCCTTTAGCTTGTGGGTGTGCAAGAAGGCTCTGGAAGGCAGAGTATGGGCAGTGGCTACATTCCATGGTCCACTGTCTAGTCACCAGCCTTGTGGTTATGGGGGTTCTGACAGCTTCTCCTGACTCTATTCCTCCAACCCTTCCACTTGATAACTTGTATTAAATCCCTCTGAGCTCGAAAGATCTAGATTGTCTTCTCTTTCCTGTATTAAACCCTGACTGATCCAGGGAATGAGGCTGTTTGGGTGCTTCGTACTTGAGGTCAGGATTTGTGTGGGCAGAGAGGGTAGTAGAGACCCTGCAGGTGGTAAGATGACTGTCCTCAGCAGGGGGCAATTGGGGAGCGCGGAGCCTGATCCCAGCGAGCCTGCCTGCTATCCAGAAATCAGGAGGGTGAAGAGCTGAGCGTGCTGAATCGCTGTCATCTTGGTCTGCCTCTCTCGCAACTAAGCCTCACTTCTGCTGGTACCCCCTTCTGATTTTCACAGCAAAGCAGGGAAAACAGCAATTTTTGGAGCGGTCAGGCAAATATTATTTTACTAAGGCTCAATGACTGTCTGCTCTGCCCATTTCGATACTTGATTGTTACTGTCCTGTGCTGTGCTCTAATATCTGGACACTCACTCCATGATGAGGTTATAACCGATTTAAGGGAAGATAATGAGTTTCAGTTTCCAGCCTGAGAATGCATGATGAGTTACTTGGGCAAGTCTGCTTCACTCAGTGTGATGTGGGAGCTGAGTGGATGTTGCAAATTTCTGCTGTAGCACAGAGTAGGGCCGTCCCCTCTGCCCACCTTGTTGCCTAAACCCCACCTTAGGGCCCTGCCCCTGCAGATACTATTCAGGAGCTGATTCGTTGACTCATCAGTTCTTCTTGAGCAGAGACGAGACCGAATATATGTCACTTAACTAATTTTTGTCCAGAAGGAACTGATTGCTCTGGTAACTGTCATTGTTCGCAAACGCATGGTACCGCCCCCTGCAGGAGGCACACACAGCCCCACTCTGTGGCTTGCAGCTGTGGTCACGTGAGACTGGCCCTGGCCCAATGATGTCTGAGTGGAAATGACTGTCTTTGGTCCTTAGTCCCTCTAACCGCATGTCAGCAATGATGCAGATGTGTACAAGTGGCTCCAGATAGAGGCAGAGTGAAGAAGGTGGAGCAGGGCTGTCGGAATCCAGACTGGACATGTTGCTAACATTTATGTTTTTATATTAATTCTGGACTAGTTAGCTTACTTCTGTGAAGTAACTGGCATTCTGGAAGCCTAACATATCACACCTCTTGTCCTGGCCAGAGTTTGGTCCCAAAGGGCTGGACTGGGCGTGCTCAGGTCTTTCTTCCCAAGGCACTAATCAAATCACCCCTCCTCCCTCACAGGGGCCAGAGGGGTTACTCCAAAGGAGATCCAACCCCTGGAAAACTTTAGGCAAGGGAACTGGAGGTTTCTGAAGGGATTTTGTTACTGTAGAATTTTATCACTCCACGTCTCTAAAAGAATTTGCCAGAAATAGAAATATCAGGAGAGGCCATAGAAATGTTAATTTTTCATATAACACCCAGTGCTCCATGCAGTACGTTATACGAAAACAATGGATCGTGGGTCACCACATCAAAAACAAATGATGTATTGTATGGTGACTAACATAACATAATAAAATTTTTTAAAAAATGTTAATTTTTGTCTCATTTGTATTCTTGCATATTTCAAAGTGGGGGAGCATTCAAGTGACAGATCAAGGCATTGAAATAAGTTTAGATAATGGTAATCCTAATGGTTACATTAAATAGAGGTAATTTATTAGCACATAGCTGTGATAGGAAAGCAACTCCAAGGTAAACGAGAACCGAGGCTTGAAGGTTAATACGACCAACTTTCTGCCAAGACATCCCTTGCTCCAAGGGCCTGGCTCATTGTTAATTGACGGCCTGTGGCTCCCAGCACAGTGCTCTGCTCCGGCTGCTGGGCCTGAGGGAAAAGGGCTTGTTTTGAAATCCAGTGTTCTTAATGAAGCAGATCCTGACCCTGAAATGTGCAAGAACATCATCTGAAAGTGTGATGAAAAACTGGTCTATTGAAAAGTCAGTGACCTTTCCAGTGTTGATTTTAAAATAATAGATTTGTTTTATTTGACACTTTGGTAAATGCTGTAATAAAACATTACAAGGTCAAAGAAATTATCCAGTGTGTTTTGTGTCTGTCTTGCAGCCTGGAATACCCAAACTATATGCTTGCAAATTAGCATCCTTATTAGTGAAATTTTGTTGCAAATTTTGGCATGGACTGTTTTGGAGTGTCAGACTTTAAGACGCTATCACAGAACTGGCAAGATTCGAGGGATTTTTTTTTTTTTTCTGATTTAATAACATTGTTCTTTATTGACCCCATAATCACCTGCTTTATGAACTGTGGCTAGAGCTGATGTTGCAACTGGTAATTTTCTTAGAAGCCAAATGCATTTATATTTTTCTGTCTTTTGATTTCCATCATTTCTGGGAATTGTTAGTAGATGGAATAAAAAGAGAATACATTATAAACAATTCAAAACACCAAAAACAAAATTCCTTGGGCCTTTTACAGATACCACACATGCAAATAAATGTGGCTTTGCATTCCAATGGCATTCGAGTGGGGATTACATTTTCCTCATTAACCTCTTTCTTAACCAAACAATATTGTTTTTCAAGCCTGTTTTATAGAAATGAAGTTTGACGTTTTAAATTAATTCACACTGACTCAGTTCAAATGAAGAGGTAGACTGTCTTCTTTTGATCCTGGTCCTTTGTGTAGTCCTGGTTGAACTCTGTCAAAGCAGCCAGTTGATTTAGGATGAAATCGGGAGATTGTGTTGCTTGCAAAATCAAAACATTCAAAGTACTAGGTGGTGGTTTTTACTGCATTTCTAAGGAAAGAGTAGAAGAGTGATCGCAATGTACACCTGAGGTCTGACGTGCCTGCTTTCCTGTGGCAAACCATTTATAAAATGAATGTACTTATTTCTGATTGAAAGAATACCCAATCTGTTTTCCATCAGTCATAACCAATAACTCCTCTGCTAATATGTGGACCTTAATTTGAAGCACTGGGAATCTTCTCTTTCCTCCAGGAAAGTCAACAGAGTTGTGTAGAAAGATTGCACAATTTTGGTAGGAGCAGAAATGTAACTGGATTATTTTTTAAATTTCTGTAAACACTCGTGCATGAGTCTGCAATTTGTGCAGTATACGTTGTTTTCAGCGTCGATATTGGAGTGTGGGTGATGAAATGTATGTGTGTGTATAGATGTTGTCCATCTCAGTAAAATGAAAGAGACAGGAAAGTAACTCTCAGTCCGAGTTAAACCCACTGATTTTAGGAAAGCCTGTGTTGGTTGTGTTCACTCGGCTGTTAGCTCTGTCTCCTTTTGGCAGGCATTCTGTTTCATTCCACCATCTTCTCATGCATTGTTTTTAGACTCCTATAATCGTGGCTTAGGGTGGCAGGAGTTAGAGTTGGAGAGAGAACCAGCACTAGTTTTCTTAGTGTCCACGGTTTCGAAACACACTCTTTAACGTTACTCGACACCCTTTTCTACATGTGCTTTCTTTAGAAAGTGGAAAAATACGTTATTGAGAGTTTGTCAGATGAAACCATATTGCCAAACATTTGCAAAACTGAACTATTGACAAAATGCATGTGATTCCAAAAGGGCCTGCTTAATTGAAAGCAGTTGCAGTGTTTCAACATGAGAATGTGGCTTATCCTTTCTGTTGTCTATCTGTTTTTAGATTGCTATAGAACATACCTCTGGACTTCCACTGTCCCCAGATAGCCGTTTCTACACAGCTAACTCAGAACAGATTAGAGCTAGAGTTTTAGGACCCTCTATGGCTTTTATTTCTTGAGCGAGCATTCAGGAAAATCGCATCCTCATGTTCTCCCACGGTCACCTCTAATTCCTAGGAGGCCGAATTCCTGCGCATGCCCTGAGTGCTCGGCACAGCCTACCAAGTTGCACAATCACGCTCGTCCACTCCCCGCATGGGCCATGGTTGCCAAGACGCAGCCGTGCCCTCGGCTGGGCCTCTGAGGGGATGCTCATTCAAGTCATGCAGCTTCAGGGCTGATTTGTTGCTCACTCTTAAATGTCCCAATTTGGCTGACATTTAGCCTACCTCTGAGAATGACACTAAAATCAGCTCTGCCACTAACCAGAAGCAAGGCTATTTCATATGGTGAAAGAACAGTCTTGCATACTCGGTGATCATAATTAACAATTAGAATTGAAGATGTAAAAAAGCCCAAATGCGTGCTGTGTGTGATGTGTGGTAAGGGGGGATTTTTCAAAAATCTAATGTACTTGACATCTCAATTGCCTTTTGACTAACCGAGAATTGGCATCTTGAAGACTGACCAAAGAAGGAGAAAAAAATTGTGTTTCATTTTGTCATTTTAAATATGCTTCCTTTGTCAAATGACTCCCTTAATTAATAAGGGAAACCATCCAGGGCAACGTAGTTCGTTTGTCTTCATTTGGAATTTCAGAAAAGCTAATGTCCCAAACTGTCTTCTGAACTTTTCAAACTTTCTGAACTTTTGCTGTCGAGCTTCATCTTGTGTAAAGATGTTAGAGCTGTGTTGAGATTAATATCAACAATCAGAAAGTAATATCATGGTTCTGGTTGTCATTATCCTGTTTAGACACGCTAGAACTAGATTGCCTGTGTTAAAACTTAATGGACTAGAGAAGAGAAGCATCCAGAATCTTAATGATGGGGGCTTCCACTATCCAGGCATTTGCCAGATGTCTCAATTTCTAAACTCAGAACATCCGATAAATCCACAATTTGCCTCACTTAGTGTTCTCAGTCCTGGCTGCACATTAGAATAATCCCAGAATTTAAAAAGTATCTATATCTATATTGATAGGCAGGCTCCACCCTTCTAATTAAAGCAGAATCTCTCAGGGTAGACTTCTTTTTTAAGTGCCTCCAAGTGATTTGAATGTGCAGCAAGGTTGAGAATCACTAACCCACACGATAATTTCATCTTTCAGAAGGGAGAGGAAGTGATGAAGAGGATTAACACCCTGCTTCTAATTCTGGCCAACTCGGAGGCCCTGCATGGAAAATCAGAAGTGACAAGAACCCTGGAAGAGGGCCACCTGGCCATCAGAAAATTCCAGAGAGATGTGGTCACTGCCAGACACACACTTGGTTGGTTGGAGTTTTAAAATATCTCAGGAAATTATAAAAGCCTGACTTTGACCCCCGCCCCCCGCCATCTGAGATTCCAAAAAGAAGCAGGGGAGAGTCCTCAAAATAAAATTTGGTTGCTACTATTGTAAATGGTCTTAGACAGGGGGGAAAAAAGAAGAAGAAAAAGAAAAAGGAAGGAGGTAGCCAAAAAGATTTAGTGTCTTCATGCAGGAAGCTGTCTGCTGAGAGCAGATATATTTTTAAATGGTATATGTAAAATGTGAAAGATGATCTAGAAAAAAAAGCATGGATACGAAAACTCTGTCAGGAATATGTGAGAAAAGAGTCAGAAAGATTAAATCCAGAAGGAGGCTAACATTCTAGATGATGAAGAGGGCTGTTTGAAACAAAAGCAAGAAAGTGTAGAATACATGCAGGGCTGTGATAGTGTCAGGTCAAGGTAACGTCAACGGTGAAAATACAAGGTGGCCACACCCGCAGACTCCATTTTACTCTTTAGATGAGAAAGGGCGGGATGAAGTTTGAGAAGAAGGAACTGAAAAATAAGATCACTTAGGAGCAAATGCTAGCTGTCCTAAATAAATTCAACACTGGAAATAACAGACCAGAATATTATCAGAATTTTCAAATGCAATGGCTTTCATCTTTAAAAAATATGAAGAATGAAAAAAAAAAAAGGAAAAAAGTATGGAAAATGAAAGAAGTACCTGAACACTGTCGCACGTTTTTTTAAAGATTTTATTTATTTATTTGACAGAGAGAGAGAGACAGCGAAGAAGAGACAGAGACAGAGAAGAGACAGCAGGAAGCCTGCTTCTCCCTCTCCCACTCCCTCTGCTTGTGTTCCCTCTCTTGCTGTCTCTCTCTCTGTGTCAAATAAATAAATAAAATCTTTTAAAAAATGTTCAAATATGCAGAGAAATAGAAAAAAATAGTACAATGAATATCCATGACCTAGTACCTTTAATCAATAGTTATCATCATTTTGCCATCTTTGCTTCATATGTTCTCTTGTTGTTGGACTATTTTAAACACCCCAAGCACTTACACATGCATCAGCAGAAAATGAGCACATCCTTTTACATAACCAAATTCTAATATATCCCACTTAATAAATTAATTAATATTAATTTAGGATCATGTAATACCCAGTCCATATTTAAACTGTAACTTTGGTTTTATAGATTTTTTTTCCAGTTTAGAATCCAGTTGATTCTAGAATCCAGTTGAGTAGCACATACAACAATTATGTCTTTGGTCTTTTTAAATCTAGAATAGCACACATATACCCCTTTCACATGCTATGTTGATTTTTGGAAAAGGCAAGGCCAATTGTCTTATAGAATGCCCCAATTCTGGACTTTTGATTCTTTTGCTCTTTCATCTTCTGCCTATCCCTTAGATCTAAAGTCTTGATGAAATTCAGGTTATACATTTTGAAGAATATTCGATAAGTGAGAATATCTACTTCGGAGTGCATGACATCAGCAGCACATTAAGCCTGGTTGTCCCACTGTTGGTGACATCGACTTTGGTCACTGAGTTAATGTGATGGCAAATGCAGTTCTTTTCACTAGTAAGAAGCATTTTCTCTTTGTCAGTTAGCAAGTTTATCAGTGGGGTGGTAGCTTGGCTCCATGAAAAATTCAGTTCCCTAAAGTTAGGTTTTTTTGTTTTTTGTTTTAAACATAACTCATTGTGCTTTTGGTTTTTATAAACGATTATACTCAGTTTTTAAGAGCTTTCATCTAGCTGGGTATTTTCAACCTAAAATTACAAAATTCTCTATTCATATCTTTGTCATTTTGGGTACCATTTTGGTTTCCCATGCATATCTGGGCTAGTAAATTGGGTATTAATGGGTTACCAGAGCTATATGTTGTAGTTCTCCTATTCACTCATTTTATTTTATGATTATTACATGCCAGGTTAGAAACGGAACTATGTAGTGTTATGGAAGTGAATGTCATATTGCCATGAGTAATGAAATACTATCCCGGCAGCACCCACTGCACCGAGAAGCTGAGCGTTGACTAAAGTTATGATGGCTACTAGACTCTTATCATGAACTAACTGTGCCACACATTGAAACTGAAATGTGGGTCCCTTGGAGTAACTTCTTTGTTTCCTGTTTTAAGAAGATCAGAAGACGGGAGTGAAAACATTCCAGTAACCAAACATGGTGGTATCAAGCCTAATTAGGAATAAAAAAACATTTCTAAAATCTGTGTCTGTTCATTTTCCTTATTTCATTGGTTTCATTTCACCCTCATCTGTGATTCATTTGCCTTTCGTCATCTTCCACAATGGCTTCTGCAAGAATATCAGTCTTAAAACGTACAACATGGCTCGCACCCACTTCAAACATTGTTTAAAATCTCATTTATTATTTTGCACTGTGGTCTCACTAAAAGCCAACGTTACTGAGACTTCAGAGCACAAACCTTCAATTCCCAGGGTGAGGGGGGAAAGAGGGCAAGAGCGAGCCAGAGGGAGAGTTAAAACTGTGAGAAGCTCCACAGCAGACATGGGAGGAAAACAAGAAAATTCAGAAGTCTTACAGGCAGCTGAAGTCTCTAGACACAAGAAAACTGGAAATTGCCCAAACCTGGGCTCAGTAGAGTATAGAAATGTGATGAAGACCAGGAGTAGTATTTTTTCCAACAAGAGGTTAGTTACTTAAGGACCACATGCCCAGGATTACAAGGATTTGCCTGAGTAGCCCAGGGAACACTTATCTGCAGTAGAATTAGTAAAAGGAAGAGATGAGATGCTATGTGAGCCACCTATTATGTGAGACTGTATTTAGAACTTGAAATTAACACTGGGAATAATCATATTAAATGGATATCAGCAGATGAAAGCTATAGTAAGTAGGAACTCAATTTTTCTAATTAGCTTAAATTTTCAGATACTAAAATCCAGGTGTTTGGGGGAGCCAAACCCAGTCACTAGGGTTTAGCATCATTCCTTTACAGAAAAACACAAACAAGATCACATGCTGGATATCTCAGGCCAGAAGCTCTGTCATATTCATTCAACTCACCTCCCTTCCTCCTTAGAGGAAGAATAGAATATAGGCACCTCCCATGGAAGGCCGCTTCTGGGCTGTGCTGGCATGGAAGGGGAGAGGGTCCCAGCTGTCTGTAGGTGTGAGCTCCAATGATGAAACCACACCCCAAGATCTTGGGGAAACATATTTTGAATGACAGGATAAGAGCATTTACCTAAGAGGGAAGAGCAGATGGGAAGGAAACTTTCTGTTTCTGGTGCAGTGACTATTTGTTACCCTTTTTCTGAGAAAGCTCTAAGTCACACCTGTATAAAGAGCTCGACCTCCAGACCACACCTGTGTTTTGGGCAGTTATTTACTCAGCCACTCACCGCAGCAGGGTCTTCTCACCCTGGAGGCTGCAAGAGGTATGGACATAAGAGAGTAACAGGCATTGGACTGCAATTCTCATTGCTCTTGCTGAAGAGACCTTGGCTGGAAGAGCCAAAGGAGGCGGGGCCCCAAGCTTGCACCTTGGACCTACTGTTCATTTCAGTTAACTTACCTACATCTTCAACTTCAAATTCTGACAGATTGGACAGCCGACTTCTTGCCTCTGGGCCAGGTAAAATAAAGAATCAATAGACAAGGCATCACCCAAATATGCAAACTGAAGTCGCTGATGATGGAAATTCTCACACAAGTGAACATTTAGTGAGGAGTGCTATCAGGAAGGCCCCAAGTGACCCCAAGTGGATAACCTTTAGAGAGCTGGAAGGAACGTGAGGATGGCTTTTTCTACCAGGCTGGAGATTCAGTGTACAAAAAATGTAACTTCATGAAGCGACTACGATTCTATTTCAAGCCATCGTTTGGTCAACTCAGGAACTCTTTGTCCTGTCACCTATGAATGTCATAGTGTCACCTATGAATTCTAGGGTGGTTTACACAGAGCCAAGGCATTTGAGAGGCTCATCTAGTTCTCCATGTTCTTCATCCATTCAGGGACACTGAGTTGCCCATCAATGAGGTTGTCCCTGGTCACAAATTCAATCCCTTCATCTCTATCTCCCTCATGATGGTGGCTGGTTGCCAGGGAAACTTTCAGTCCCAGCCCTCAACCTCCAGGGAAGGGAGAGGCTAGAAGTTGAATCAATCACCAGTGGCGGGTCAGTGATTGAATCACTTATGCCTATCTAGCGGAGCCTCCATAAAAACCAAAAGGAAAGGGTTTGGAGAGCTTTTGAGTTGGATACCTGGAGGTGTGGGGAGAGGGGTTGGCTCTGAGAGGGCAAGGAAGCTCCGCAAACTTTCCCCGCACCTTGCCTTGTGCGTGTCTTCCATCCGGCAGTCCCTGAGTTATATATGATCTGGTAGTCTAGTAAATAAACTTTCTCTGAGTTCTGTGAGCCACTCTAGCAAATTAATCAAACCCAAGCTGGGGGTGGTCATGGGCACCACAAATTTATAGCCGATTGCTCAGGAACACAGGCGACAACCTGGACTTGGGGGTCAGTCCTTCCTCATGCAGGATTGTCTCAATGCCAAGTGATGGCATCAAATGCCAAGTGATGGCATTTGAAATGGTGGTGGTGGTGGGGGGGTAGTGTTGTGGGACTGAGCCCTTAACCTGTGGAATCTAATGCTGTCTCTGGGTAGAGAGTGTTGGAATTGAGCTCACTTGCAAGACGCCCAGCTGGACTCACAGCATTGCTTGATGTGTGGAAAGCCCACCCAGCAGGGGTCAGCAGTGAGGTGGCAGAGTAGAGGAGTGTGAGAGTCAGGGAGAGACACATGCAGGGGTGTTTTTCCTTTAGGGACAGGAGTGATACTCGTCACTGTATTCATTTTGTTAATATAGTTCATATGCTTTTCTGAAGGACATGTTGTATGCTTGTCTAGGCCTTTTTAGAAAATCTAAATTTGTCTGACAAGAAAATAATGATAGAGTAACAGAGTTACTCAAGAGAAGAAAGTGAACAAGATGAGAAATCCTTCTGTGGTGGGTTCATATTTTGAAATATTAATCTTTTTCTCTCTCTCTCTCATCCCTCCCCACCCCCTCCCCCATCCCTTCCATCTAATTAAACTAGGCCTTTCTTTGCTTATTGAATCAAAGAAGTGATGTGACAGCAAGACAAAGAAAAAAAGGGCCTCTTCCAGGACTTCGAGTTTCCAAAGACAAGGCCTTAAAGCATCAGAAAACATTCAAGGCATGTGATGTGGTGAGCACTGGGTGTTATACGCAACTGATAATTTATTGAACACTACATCTGAAACTAATGATGTGCTATAAGTTGGCTAATTGAATTTAAATTAAAAAAAAAAAGAAAAATATTCAAGGCATAGGCCAGGGGTTTCAAGGGGACAGCTTCCTCCTACCCCTTAGGTCCTTTAGGGGACATTTGAAAGTGTAGTGAGTGATGGGGTGGGTGTTTGTCACAACAACTGGGAAACATTATCCCATTATGTGCAAACAGTGGGTGGGGCCAGGGATGCTAACCATTCCGCAAAAAGTGAGACAATCCTGCATAAGGAGGAAGGACTGACCCCCAAGTGCCAAGAGCACCCTTGTTATAAAACTCACTGGTGGGCAAGAATACTGAGAAAAGGAAGCCCCTGTGTATGCTGGTGGGAAGGTAAAATGATGCAGCCGCTGTGGAAACAACATAGCCGTTCCTCAAAAATTAAACAGAATTACCGTATGACCAGTACCTAGATGAGCTTCTCGAATGCCTTGGCTCTGTGTAAAGCACCCCAGAATTCAGAGGTGACACTAGGGACAAAGACAGTTCCTGAGTTGACCGAACGATGGCTTGAAATAGAATTGTAGTCGCTCCATGAAGTTACATTTCTTTTTTTTTTTTAAGATTTTATTTATTTATTTGACAGAGAGCGACACAGCGAGAGGGGAACACAAGCAGGGGGAGTGGGAGAGGGAGAAGCAGGCCTCCCACTGAGCAGGGAGCCCGATGTGGGGCTCGATCCCAGGACCCTGGGATCAT